GTTAAGCATCTGACTTCAGCACAGGTCATGATCTCACAGTTTGTGAGTTCGAGCCCCGTGTCGGGCTCTGCGCTGACAGCTCACAGCCTGGGGCCTGCTTTGGATTCTGTGTCTCCCTCTCTCTCTGCCCCCACCCTGCTCATGCTCTGTCTCTGTCTTTCGAAAATGAATAAACATTAAAAACAATTAAAGAAAGTGAAATCAAAACAAAACCCTACCTATAATAGCAAAGAAAAATTAAAAGTGGCCAAATTTCCCACATTTGGAAAGAAGTCATAAATTCTACATTCAAGAATCTAGGGAACACCACACAAGGGAGACCCAAAGAGATGTGTGCCAGGATACTAAAGTCAAACTTGCATCGACTGAAGACAAAGAAAAAATCTTGGAAGCCGCAAGACAGAAATGACACTTTGCCTACTGGGGCAAAGTAACTCACAGAACAAACAACTTCTCATCGGAAATCAGAAAGAAGTACCAGGAGCAGGGCGCCTGGGGGGGGCTCAGTCGGCTGAGGGTCCGACTCTTGGTTTCAGGTCAGGTCACGATCTCACAGTTCGTGGGTTCGAGCCCTGTGTCGGGCTCTGCGCTAACAGCGTGCAGCCTGCTAGGGATTCTCTCTCTCTCTCTCTCTGCCCCTCCCCTCATGCTTCACGCGCTCTCTCTCTCGCAAAATAAACTAATAAACTTAAAAAAAAATTTTTTTTTCAGGAAGTACAAGGAGGAAGGGGCACAACAGCTTTCAAAAAGCACCAACCCAGAATTGAACACTCAGCAGACGCATGGCTCAGTCAGACGTTCTCGGATGAAAGAAAACGGAGGGAATCTGTCACCCACAGGACTGCCCTTTGAGGGTGGATAAAGGTCGTTCTCTAAGCAGAAACGAAGTGATGGACGGTGGAAAGGTTGAACAGCAGAAGGAAGGAAGAATGACAGAACGGGTAAACGGAACTCTGGAAAAATGTTCAAGTCACCCGGAAAGGCAGGAAAAGAAAAACCTTAAAACGGAAAGATGCGATGGCGGACTTAAGTCCTAACATCAAAACTCACCTTAAATATAGTGTCGTAAATACGCCAGTTTGAAAAGACACAGGTTTTGCAGAGTGGATGGAAAAAGTAAGACCCGATTATTTATTGTCTACAAAATCCTCGCTTCCAACGACGGAGGCAAGCTGAGAGTGACCGACCACTTGGCAGCAAAGGGGGGAGGACTGCCGATATGCACAACAACCCGGATGGATGGCGAAGGGATCGCGCTGGGTGGAAAGTGACACGGTCACTTCGGTCGGATTCCTTAGGTGACGTGCTCGAAGTGGCAAGGTTGCGGGCATGAAGAACAGACTCGTGGCTGCCGGGGGCTCAGGCGGTGGGGGCAGAGGACGCAGGGGTGAGACCAGGCTCGGAACCCAGGGAGCTCCCGCGGCATCTTTGCAACTTCCTAAAATCTATGATGGTTCCGGAGTAAAAAGGGTAAGGAGCCCCCGCGTGGTGCAGGCTCAAAGCAGCACGCGACAGACGCAGGCCAGCCCGCCGGGCACCTGGACGACGCTACGGGAGAACCCGCGCCCGGGACTCCCCGCTCTGGGTTCTGCTTTTCCCGCCGCAGCACCTCAGCACCTCCTTCCAACTGTGACCTCCCCTCTCGTGTCCTTCAGGTTCGGGGACTGAGACCTTTTCACTCCTTTCCTGCTATTCACTGGGGCTTCGGGAGAGAGAGGAGATAAGTGTGTTCTATACACCTCCTTACATTGGAAATTGTGAATTTTTAGGTTCTGACATCTCATTAGTATCAAGTGACCTGAAGGACGAGAGACAGATGAGACAAGCAAGCAGTCCGAGGCCAGGTGAGCCTGGGGCCAGGTGGCACAGGGAAGGACACTGGGGGGCAGGTGGCACAGGGGAAGGACATGGGGGGCCAGGTGGCTTGAGGGAGGACGCTGGGGGGCAGGTGGCTCGGGGGAGGATGCTCGGAGGCAGGTGGCACAGAGAAGGACGCGGAGCTGCCCGGCTCAGACGCTCTGGCTCTCCATTTCTCCACCGCTACAAGGGGAAAACAGTACATCCCCTGACCCCCAGCCTACAGAATGCCTTGAGGGTCTAAAGAGGTTCTAGAAATAACGTACAAAATTAGTGCCAAACAACTAAGCATTCAGAGCACCCAGGATGGGTTAAGACACCCGTGGCCTGCCCTGCACCCAGGTGCTGCTGGGCTCCTCCCCGAGGGCTGTCCCTCCTTCTGCGTGTGGTGACCGCAGGGGCCCCCAGTGCTCTGAGCACAAGCCCCACCCGTGGAGAGCTCGGAGTGCGCCCTCTGACCTCCATCGACCCCTCAGGGAGACTCAGGCACTTTCAGACCTGCAGGGAACACAGGGTACACGTTATGTGTTGTGTGACCACCTCGATTTATGGTCAAAGGCAGGGAGGGGGGGAGTCACCAGGACGAGGACCCAGCTCTTGTATCTTGGCCCAGCGCTGCCCCCAGGCTTTCTGGTCAGTCTCTAATGGCCTAAGACGGGTCACCTCCTTACCTCGTCTCTGAGCCACCCCCTCTGCTGAGATTAGATCTTAAATCTACGTGGCTGCCCAAGCTCTCCATCTGGGCTGCTCCGTGCAGTCTGGAGAGGCGCCTCGGTCTTACTAAGCATGCACGCCTCGTCCTGAAGACAGCTTCTGAAGCATCCGCTTCGGTCTCTGTGTTTTATGGATGAGGGTTCCAGGGAGGAGAAAGAGCCAATACGTCAAGGTCGCAAAGTAACTGTGATGGTACGGGGAAGGTCTGGGGTGGCGGTGGTGGGAAGGGAAATGAGTCAAATCTGGGCAGAGCTGAGAAGGACCCTCAGGACGTGGGACTAATTAGATTATGGGGATGTAGGGAGGTGGGGGGTGGGGGGGGTTCAGGTCTGGAAGGCGGTGGGGGAGACCCCAACGCCTTTGATGGAAATATGTAAGGTGTATAAATAAATCTGTTCCAAGGCTCCGTTCGTGACGGGGAGGACCTTCCCACCGTCTCCTCCTGGACCGCACTCTGCTCTCACAAGGGAGCATGCCCTCTCCATCCGCTGGAGGGACTCCTTTGATGGGGAACACCCTGTGCAAGACACAGTCCCCCGCAGGCCTGGGACCACTGTCTCTGGAGGGGCTGCTCACTAGGCTGGGCTTTCAGAACGGTCTGCATTCCCCAACCCACTCATCCGAGACTGTGCAGAGGACACGATTTGTGCTCAACACCTGCTTTCCCTGGGCGTCTGGAATGTGGGGGGTGCTAGGCAGAGGTGCCGATGTCACCAGCCCGGGACTAACCCCGGGCGCTGAGCCCCTAACAGCTTCGCAGGACAGAAGCTCGGCACACAGCTGCATTCTCCCCTGCTGGCATGCCCCTGGGGAGGGAGACGGGGGACAGAGGTCGCAAGCCTGCACACGGAGTCTCGGACCCGCCCGTGTGCTTTCCCTGTTGAGCCTGCTGGGCGTCCCTGCGCTGTGACTGCTGTCCTAGAACACGTACGGCGACCCCAAGGACCCCCAGAAACAAGTCTACACCGCCGTCTCTGACTCGAATCAGAACCCCATCTCTCTGGGGTCTGCCGGCCCCCGGGGAGCACCTTCCTTTGCTTTCCTTCTGGTTCCACGTGGGGAGCACAAGGGGGCCCATGAGCATCAGGGCTGTGGGCACACTGCCCACCTCCACGCCAGGCAGCCGGGACGGCCCCCGCCACCAGGATCCCGGCCGCTCCGCACACCCCGCTCTTGCCACGTGGGGTCCCAAATCTTTGAGAAGGAAAACAGGAGACAAGGAGAATGCCCTGTTCTTCCATGGGGGAGCACCAGAAAACAATCCGCGGGCCACTGGTGCTTCCAGACAAAGACCCAGGAACCGGCCGCCCCCAGGACGTCCAACACGCCTGGTGAGTTCCCAGGCAGCAGATAACCAGAAGCGCCCACTCGGATGCACCTCGCCAAGCTCCCCGCCCTCCCTGTGTTTCCTGCCGTCCCCGGGACCTCCGGGCACCTGCTTCACCTCTCCAGCTATAAACCCCATCCCCGGCTTCCATCAGGTTCTGAAACATAGTTTAGGAAACTGCTTTAGGTCGTAAGACGCGGCTAATCAGGACACCGGTACTTCATTCTAGTTGCCGTTAACCAATCACACGGTACCCTACAAGAAAATGTCTCTGGGTGCCCCCACCTTTCCGGCCATCACTGGGTCCCGTGCTTCCCAGCCCTCAATGTAACATCCGAGCGACAGCCCCCTGTAGCAGCCCCTTGCGTCAAACCTGATGCTAGTAAACGTGCTCCTGGAAATTTCCAGAACCAAAGGCATCCTGAGCAGTATTTCTTCAAAGCAGGAAAGGGGCCCTGAAGGAGTAGGAAGCCCCGTTTCAGCCTCAAATCCCAGCTGAGTCCCCCGGCCCTCGCTGACCCTTGTCAGCATCCTCCACTGGGTCTTAGCTCAGAGGAAAGAAGGGGCCCGGGGTCGGGTGGGTGGCGGCTCCGGGCCCCGCGAGCCGGAGACCAGACTGCCGCATAAGTCTTCGGAACGACTTTGAAGCCAGTGAGTCCTGCACGGGCCGTCCGGGTGACACTCATTCCCTCGGAGGCTATTTTCATAAGCTTCCTGTAAACTAACGAAGACTGGAAACCTCGACGCAAAACGCTCTCTGTACGTCGTCAGAGCGAGCAGCGTGGCTGGGAAGCTCCGATGACGCACCGAGTACGTTGGCACTCCCTGCCAAGCTGCCAGCTGGAACGTGCCGGCAACCCTCTCTGGCTCAAGGGTCTGCTCCCAGGACGGAGAAATGAGGACGCGGCCCTGACGCGGAGCCACGCCGGAGGCGTGAACCCCAGCCCCTCAGTGACGACGGCGGGCAGATCGCAGGGCCCCGGGAACGGCCTCGTCGGCGGTGATCCCTCCTGCCCGAGCCGCGGCCTAATCTCTCTCCCTTCCCCACGCGGGCTCCTCCCCCCAGGTCATTCGACACGCGGGGGCTGGATGCTATTCGTCCACCGTGGGAAGCGGAAGACGGATTCTGCCGCCACGAAGCCACACGATCTCGGGGCGCGAGGGACTGGTAAAAAGACAGGCAGATGGAGCGTGGTGGGGAGAGAGGTTACTTCCCCGTGTGGTCAGGGAGGGCCGCACAGCAGAGCCGGCATCCGCCACAAGAGCTCAGTAGGCGACGAGGAAGGCGGAGGAGAAAGAGCGTGGCCGGTCGGTGGCAAGACACGACTCTGATGCGGCTGGGGGGGAGGCGCTGACACAAATCATACTCCTCAAGGAACGGCGAGGACGTGCCACACCTCCCAGGAGGTTCCTCCGAAGCTGCCCGCAGCGCCCCCAGGCTCCCGGGCGGCCCTGCTGGGCAGCCAGCAGCCCAGGAGGGAAACGTCCAGCCGTGTGGAGGCGTAGAGGCCACCGCTGCCCGCGGAGGTGGTCTTGGCCCCACAGGTAGGAGAGGCAAGGGGGGGGGGGGCGGTTCCTGAGGGTGAGGTGGCCCGGTCTGCATTTGGCACCGACCTCCCTTGCCTCTTGCCACCCAGGCTGGGCGTTCTCCCTGAGTCCCCGTAGAGCCCCCACGGCACTGTGACACCCTCTACTCCAGAGGGAAATGAACATTCTAGAGGCATGCAACGTGGCGCCCAAATGAGCACGTTCAAGTCCAAGTGCCCCTGCGGAGCGGTCCCCTGATGACCCTGGATGAGTCACCTAAGCTCTCTGCACCCCACCTGCAGGACGCATGAGGCACAGCTGCTCGCCCACAGACAGCTGGACGGGCATGTGGGGCTGCCGCAAGCGTCCGAGGCCACGTGGACACGGACTGGGCCCACTGAGGCCACAAAGACACACAGACAAGGGACTGTGCCCCCTGAGGCCACACAGACACGGGACTGGGCCCCCCGAGGCCACACGGACACGGACTGGGCCCACTGAGGCCACACAGACACACAGACAAGGGACTGTGCCCCCCAAGGCCACGCGGACACGGGACTGGGCCCCCCGAGGCCACGCAAACACAGACTGGGCCCACTGAGGGCACACACACACACACACAGGACTGGGCCCCCCAAGACCACACAGATACACACACACACACACACACACACGGGATTGGGCTTGCGAGGCCACGAAGACAGGACTGGGCTCGCTGAAGCCATGTAGACACGGGCTGTGCCTGCCCAGGCCACACACGGACGGACACAACACACACAGACACACACACATACCAACGGAGCCCGCCGAGGCCCCGGCCCGTGGGAACAGGGGGAGGGGTGGCCACACTAACAGGCCCCTTACCCAGCGTCAGACAGTTTGGAGCTCTCCACAAAGTACATGCATTCCTTCTTCTTGATATTTTCGGGGATCCACGAACTGAGACTTTCTTGCTGAGGATAAAAAGGGCGCTTTGAGATCCCCGGGCAGTCATAGCAACACTGTTCGGGACAGCAAACCCTCCGCCACTCCTAGATACGCCTGGGCTCCCTGTCGAGCTACACAGGACTTTTCCAGAAGGGGTGAGCGTGCCCAGCCCCGGCCCTCAGGTGTGGGAGGAACAGCCCTGTGGGACCTCTTCCTCCTTTGCCCTACTTAAGTAGCACGGCACTTTCCAGTTTCTCTGTCAATGCTGCCTTCCTCGGGAATAAAACGGTGCGGCGGGTAGGGGTGTGGACACCTGCCTCTGTCCTGATGAGACGGCAGGCCAACGCCCTCCCGCCACCTGACCAGGGGCCGAGGGAGTCAAACATGCCCTCAACACAGTCTTGTCTCGGGCCTTGAGGAATCTAGCCCAGGACGTCGGTGGTGCTCAGGGCCCTCCAGTGACATCGGAGACGTGAAGTCATCGCAGAGGTCAGGGGTGACGGCTTCCAGCGAGTCTGCCCGGGACGGGGTTGCAGTGCTTGCCTAACGCCCTCCCAACCAGACCAAGAACAGGAAGGGGCGTGCGATGCATGGAGGGGGCGGACCTGGCCACTGACCATTTTCTCCAGGTCCCCTTTCCCCGGCTCAGCCGAGCCTCTGCCCAAGGAAGAAACACACCCATCCCTGGGTGGTCGCCGCCAGGGCTCTGGGGGACCCGGCGGAGGGGGGTCCTGCTGGCCACCGGAAGCCTACCTTCTCACTGTTGCCAAAGAGGTTCTGGGACCTCCTGACCTTGCGCAGGCTGCTGTTGCTGCGCCGGAGACTGGGGACCGTGCCCAGGTCAGCGACCCTCCGGGGCTGCACCCCAAAGGCCTCCTCCTGCTTGGAGCCGGCTTTCCTCAGGGTGGGGGGCTCCATCGTGAGGGCTGCCTCCACTCCAGCTGCCACGGTCTCCTCCCTCCCTCAGGACAGCCTTTACTCCAGCTCGTGAGGCTGAAGGTTCTGGAAACACACCATGGAGGGCTGCCAGAATAGATCAGAGAGGGGAATGAGGCAGGTGTCCTGACGGCACGGGGCACGTGCTTCCTCGCGCGGGGCCTGTCCACTCGTTGGTCGGCGCCTTTCCCCGGCTGCCCCAGCTCTGTCCGCCAGCAGGGGCCCCGGGTCGTCTGGAAGCACATGCACATCCCCAGGGCCCCAGAGGCCCATTTGTAGCCACAGCGACCTCAGGTCACTGTGAAGGGCCGGAGGAGGCACTCCATCCCCGTCCATGGGGCCGTCCTCCCAGCACAGGCCCAGAGTGCGAGGGCCTGGGGGGCGGAACGATTGCAAACGGGGAGCCACAGCTACCCTGCACCCCGCTCATCTTGGGCCCGGCTCTCCCAATTCCCCGCAGCCCCAGGCGCCGCTCCAGCTGGCCCCCTGTGGCCAGGGTTAGTGGCACCTGCACGATGCCATCACTGCTGTTCTGAAAAGCGTGCAAGTCTGGGGGGTCAGCCGCCTCCACCCAGATTTTAACACATGAGGCCACCCAGAGCCTTGGGCACCTGACCCTGGGAGAGGGCCGCTGACAGGACAATACCCAGTGGAGCTGTGGGGTGGGGTGGCCCCAAACCAGCAGAGCCACTGGCATGCGTCTCTAGCCGGGGAGAGCTGCAGGGTGGGCTGTGCCCAGAAAAGCCATCAGGCAGGACCACCAGTCCAGGGGCCTTAAGGTTTAGGTTTGCTTGGACCCCGTCACCCCTCCGGTTGCTCCCCTTCGGAGTGGGAGTGCCCGTCCGGTGCCCCACCATTGCTGGCGGGACAGGCCCACAGCCGGAGAGGAATCC